TTAATGCAATGCTAGTCCGCTTCTTAAAATAATTCATAACATATTTTCAACCAATTTTGTTGAAATGTGTGTTCAGTCATATAACTTTCTCAATTACCTTAATACAAATGTCACAAAATGTATTCAACTTCTCTCTAGTCTGAAAAGCCTTATCTTGTGATTAAGAATCTTCCATGTTCACTGTTAAAATGTTTTATCTAACATACAATTAATAGATTACTTTCCTAAAGGCAATGTAACAGACATGGACTATAATTATAAACATGTAACTTAAAAAAAAAAAAAACCTACATGTTAGTCATTGAACAACAAATCTTCATCAACCTACATGCACTATTTAGTGGTAGTGTATGAAGAAATATATAATTTCATGGCTGTAATTTTTTTCCAAAACTATCTAATAATTAAAAACATGTAACTTAAAAAGCAAAACACAGCAACCCATACTGGTAATGCATATATAAGAACAATCCAATAATTTTTTTTCCCGAAATTATCTAAGAATTAAAAACATGTAACTTAACAAAAAAACACAACAATCCACACTGACAATGCATATACCCACAACAATAACAATTTTTTTCCAAAACTATTCAATATGTATCATAAAAAAAAAAAAGCAAACCACACTAGCAATGCACATGTAATAACTTGTTGCAATTTCTTCCCAAACTATTGAATAAATAATAACATGTAACTTAAACAAAAAAAACACAACAACCTATACTAGCAGTGCATATATAAGAACAATCCAATAATTTTTTTCTGAAACTATCTAACAATTAAAAACTTATAAATTAACAAAACAACACAGCAACCCACACTGGTAGTGCATATATAAGAACTTGATGCAATTTTTTCGAAACTATCATGTTACTAGACATTGATGAAAGAAAGAAAAAAGACACTCCATAACATACTTTGTTCCATGTTAATGTACTGTTAAATTAGGGTTGACTTAACTGATAATTATAGTATTTATAACATATTTTAGTTGTATTTAGGAAAGTGGTGGCTTTTGTGTTTGCGATTGGTAAAAGTAGATTTTTAAAAATCACTTTTTCTTGTGGTGTATATATGAAAAGATGTGTTTGGTTAAAATTATAGTTTAAAGTATTGTTGTCTAATAAGCAATTGATATGTGTTTGGTTAAGTTGCTTTTGAAAGTACTTTTGTTAATAAAATTACCAAGAAGGACATGTGTTAATTTGCAAGTTGTTAGTAGCATTTGTGAGCATTTTTTTTATATATAAAAGAAATAAGAATGCTATATTATTGTTGTTCTTCAATCATCTCATTAAACTATCTACTATTCCATCACGGATATAATTCATTTGAGAAGACCACTGGTTGCCTTGGCTTTGTGAACATGGAAAAACATCGACTAAAATATCATCAGGAATAAAATTAG